GATGCTTAAGACCTACTGCTTCCAAGACTCTCCCTCCCCCACCCGTCAGTACCCACCCTGCTCGGAAGAGGGTCCTCAGCTCTGAGCTTCTGGAATGGAATTTAGACTCCAACCACAATTGTTATTTTTCCTCCAGCTAAAACCTTGTATTCATCAAGCTGGGTGGTCTATTACAACATAATAGCTTTAAGAATGTGAATGATTTACAGAATTCATAGATATTATCACCAAAGGGGTAAATCAACATATGCTTCAGTTCAGGGCATAGACATTTGTTGTTTCAAGATTATCTGTAAGTATCATTCTTAGGTCACAGGATAACGTCTTCAAAGGTTGTAGAGGATTTAAAGAAATACATTAGTGCAAATTTCCATTGCTATTAGATCTTTGTGACTTTCCATTTACTTGTCTCTAAGCCAGGCTTATAAAACTTTATGAATAGTCTTCCTAAGAACTAATTCTGAAGAATTGATCCACTTGCGTATATTGATGTACAATTTCATAATCAGAGATTTCATTGGCTTGCACTAACTCCTGGCCACTGGGGGTTACTCGGATTACTGTTAGATTTTGGTGATACACATTTTTATTCTTCCTGAATAATGTTGCTGTTGTTGTTTAGTTGCAGTACACCAAGTTCCTCCATCCATGGGATTCTCCAAGCAAGAATACTGGAGTGGGTAGCCATTTCATCCTCCAGGGATCTTCCTGACCCAGGGATCAAACCCATGTCTCCTATGTCGGCAGGTGGATTCTTTATCACTGAACCATCAGGGAAGCCCTCTTAGAGTAATACAATGACTTTAAAAAAGAGCACAAGGTTAGAGTTTCTTGACATTTGGTGGCCATCTAAGATGCCCTGGAGGAGGTTAATTACCATGGAGCTAACAACTGCCAACTAACAAGTTCCAGCTGACAAGGAAGGCTGTTGGCAGAGAGTGTGGTGCTAAGGAGAGCCTGGAAGGGAGGGACAAGTTTCCCTGAGTTTGTGGAATGGCGCTCCTACTCAGGATACAATGTCACTGGAAGGAAGAACTGTTGGAAGCTGATTGTTGGAAGTATATACCCCAAGATAACTTTATTTTGGATCTAAAAAGTGAAAGTAAGTGAACTCGCTCAGTTGTGTCCGACCCTTTGCGACCCCATGAACTGTAGTCTACCAGGCTCCTCTGTCCATGGGATTCTCCAGGCAAGAATACTGGAGTGGGTTGCCATTTGGATCAAGAAATGAAGTGCAAAATTCACAAAATTATGATCAGGAGTTTGTGCGTGTGGGTACTAAGCTGCTTCAGTTGTGTCCTACTCTTTGCGACCGTATGGACTGTAGCCCACCAGGCTACTCTGTCCATGGGGATTCTTCAAGTAAGAATACTGGAGTGGGTTGCCACGTGCTCCTCCAGGGGATCTTCCTGACCCAGGGATCTAACCCTTGTCACTTTTGTCTCCTGCGTTGGCAGGCAGGTTCTTTACCACTATCAGGAGTTTGCATCTTTCGAAATCAATGCATTTTAGTAGCTCCTCCAAACCGTACTCTCCATAAAGCAATTATGCATAGCAGGTAGCATCTTTTCATGCCTTAAAGGCCCGGATACTCAGGACCCTAACAGCCCCGGCTCTAAAGGGAAAAGGGGAAAGATTACTCTTTCTGACTCTGGTTGGCATTGCCTCTTCAGTTTGCACCAGTGCTCCTGTGTCCTGTGAGTGAATTGTGCAAGCTTGCAGGTAAGTGTTGCGGGGCCAAAGCAAACCATGCCTGACTCACACACAGAGCTTCAAATCCAGGCAGGTCCCGGCTTGCAGGAAAGTGAAAGTGAAAGTTGCTCAGTCCTGTCCGATTCTTTGCAACCCCATGGACTGTAGCCCCTACCCCCACCCCCAGGCTCCTCTGTCCGTGGAATTCTCCAGGCAAGCATACTGGAGTGGGTTGCCACGCCCTCTTCTAGGGGATTTCCCAACGCAGGGATTCGAACCCAGGTCTCCCGCATTGCGGGTGGATTCTTTACCAACTGAGCTAGCAAGGGGCTCTGTGTTATTCCGACGGCAGCTCTCACCATCAAGACTGAATGCTGCTTGTCTGATCCTGCCAGCTCCCCAGGCCAGTGAGAGGGGTGGCACTCCTGGAAGACCTCAGACCACAGAGTTTGCTCCTTTGTTGGAGACAACTGATGTGCGTTTATTTGGAATATTGTTTCCCTGCTTCTTTTATTAAGATCAGCTGTGTTGGACTCCCCTAAATTGTTCTTAGGGGACAAAGAATGTCAAATAGTGAGAATGTCCTTCAGATTATAAAAGGGAAAGGCAGGTTTCAGTCTTGTTTCTTGGAAATACGTAAAGACAAGGCAAGACAGAAACTTGTCTCTCCAAAGATACAATGGAAAGAATGTTGATGCCGAAACATGTATATTATCTAGGGTGAAACAGATCACCAGCCCAGCCTGGATGCATGAGACAAGTGCTCGGGCCTGGTGCACTGGGAAGACCCAGAGGAATCGGGTGGAGAGGGAGGTGGGAGGGGGGATCAGGATGGGGAATACATGTAAATCCAAGGCTGACTCATGTCAATGTATGACAAAACCACTACAATATTGTAAAGTAATTAGCCTCCAACTAATAAAAATAAACGGAAAAAGAAAAAGAAAGAACGTTGATGCATAAAATGAAGAAAAGGGGACTTCCCTGGTGGCTCAGTGGTAAAGAATTCACCTGCCAATGCAGGAGACACAGGTTCAATCCCTGATCTGGGAAGATCCCACGTGCCGAGAGGCAAGTAAGCCCAAGAACCACAACTACCGAGCCTGTGCTCTAGAACCTGCGCTCTGCAAAAAGAGAAGCCACTGAAATGAGAGTCCTGGGCACCGTAACTAGAGAGAAGCCACCGCCTGCTGCAACTAGAGAAAAGCCCTCACAGCGATAAAGATCCAGCACAGCCCAAAATAAGGAAATAAATAAAAATGAAGGAACAAATTTGACCAGAAGAAGGGAGTCATCTAGGAGGAAGGCTGTGTTGGCAGAACAGGCCAGCATCTGTCTGAGAAACTGAGGTCAAAGGGAAGTCCTTGCTTTTCTAGATGAGGGACCGTGAAGGGAAAGGACAGGACCAGCTCTCTCTATGATGGAGCTGATTCTAGGATCCCTGGATGTGCTGAACCTTTGTCGCTATCTTCTTGCACCAACTGTAGCAAAGGATTCTCTAGTGAAGTGAAAATTCAGGTGAAACAAGAAAGCCCCAACCACTCATGTGAGTTTTCTCTGTTCTGAGACATACATTAACTTGCATCTCAACGTGCTGCCGTGGTTTTGCAGTAAATAACATCTCTGTTGGCTGGAAGACCAGAGCAGCTGCTTCCTTCGAAGGACTGTTGCTGCAAATCGAGCTTGACTGGGGGGAGTCTTCATCCCTGACGTCCTCATTTTACCTGATACGGGAGGTCCCAGGGAGTGGCCAGCTGAAATGTGCCACCCAGACCCTTGGTGCCTACAGACTTAGCCAGGAATGTGCTGGATGAGACATCACAAGTCCTAAATAACTGGCAGAGTCTGTAATTGGTTTCAGATGCTCCTCGCTTGGAGTTCTCTAACCGTACTATTTTCCAGGGAATTCACAAAAGCGACTGGCACGCCAGGGGGGGGCCCGAGTGTGTGGCTGACCTTGGAGGACCTTTTGGGTTCACCTTGAAGTTAGGGCCTCGTTACCTGTGGACCCCTTCATCTGGCCAGTCACACTCCAGGCCTGGGATGTTACGGGGACCTCACTTGCTGTCAATCCATCTTTTTCTCACTGCTGTTTTTATTTGTTGTTTTTAGCCTTTTCAACCTCATCTTTTCTTTGTGTCTTTATTAAATCAGCCCAATATCAAAGATTCCTTTCAATTTCTTCAAATATGAAAAGAAATCACTTAATTTGCTATTAAGAAACTTATTTTGTTACGAAAAAGGAAGATCATTATTTCCACACTGTTTTGCGATCTTGAAATCAAGTTAGCTGATACTTTTCTAAGCTCAAAGCATAGAGCAGCAGCCCATTAAGAGAGGAGGGTATTAGTGCTTTTTTAAATCTATGTCTGAAACTGGGAACCGTGCTGTGACCTGGCCTCATCGGGTCTGATGGTGGGAAGCATTATGGTTTTACAGTTAAGCTGAGTACCCCATCGATACTTCAGAGCAGCTGGGTGAGAGGCAGGCTGGCCTCCTTATTCTCCTTCCAGGAAAAACACAGCTTAGGGAGAATGGTGACATGCCCGGGCACTCTGGGCGACACTGCTGGAATGGACATTCTGGGGCCCTGTTCGGTGAGTAAAGAATCTGCCTGCACTGCAGGAGACTCGGGTTCGATCCCTGGGTCAGGAAGATCCCCTGGAGAAGGAAATGGCAACCCACTCCAGTATCCTTGCCTGGAGAATCCCATGGACAGAGGAGCCTGGGGGACTACAGTCCAAGGTGTCACAAAAAGTCAGATACAACTGAGTGACTAACACTTTCCAGGCCACCAGAAGGGGAGCCCAGTGGGGACCTGGGCTTCATGGAGTCCTTGGTCATCTCTCCTGCACTGGGGTTAGATTCTCCAGGTTGAGTCTGTCTTTCTGAATGTTGACCCCTGTATCCCAGCTGTAGAGACAGGGCTGGAGGCGGGCAGGCTTTGGAGGGTCATCATTGTGAGCAGAGCAGGTGCCCCTGCAAGCTCCCTCCCCCCTTTATGATGCAGAACGATGCAAGGGATTTGGCTCAGGAGCCTTTCAAAGAAGCAAACGGTTATGCTCAGGAAATGCCAGCATTAAATAATTTCCCTGGGCTTCCTTTCCTCTTAACCAGGGGCCCAGCAGGGTCTCCCAACCTCCCAGGCCTTTTCCCTTAGGGGGCTGTTTTCTCACCAATTCCCAGACCTTCCTTGATCCTGGCCGTGAGGCTATGAGTGTTCCCACCCACCCCCGATCCCTCTTTGGAGTCTTGACCATTGAACCCAAGATATTTGAAAATCACAGAAGCTTAAGACTGGGAAGCACCTGGACAGGTCGCTCAGGGAGAGGTCGACCACCACTTCTCCTGCTTTGCTCAGGGAGCCGGAGGACAGTGGGGCGCCTTGCGGTCCTCCGATGTCGCGAGGGGCTGGGTGCAGCTTCTCACCCCAAGCTTGCCTGCCCCCGAATTCTCCAGGGAACACAGACTATGGACCAGACAGAGCGTGAGGGTAAAGAGGACCAGGGTCCCAGACACCTTAGAGGAAATGACAACACTGCCTTAGAGCGAAACTCTAATGAGGCATTATCTCAACTTGTCAGAATGGCCATCAGCAAAGTGAGTATAAATACTAAATGCTGGTGAGGATGTGAAGGATAGAGAATTCTTGTGTACTCCTGGTGGGAATGAAAATTGGTGCAGCTAATATGTATAACAGTATGGAAGTTTCTCAAAAAACTAAAAATACAGCTACCGTATGACCCAGCAATTCCACTCCTGGGTATATTAAAAAAAAAAACCCAAAAACAGAAAGACTAATTCAGAAAGATACATGTACCTCCAATAACTCCAGCATTATTTACAATTGCCAACCTACAGAAGCAACCTAAGTGTCCATCATAAGATGAATGGGTAAAGAAGATGTGATCTATATATACACATAGAATACCACTCAGCCATAAAAAAACATCAATGAAATTTTGCCATTTGCAGCAATATGGATGGACTTGGAGATCATTATACTAAGTGAAATAAGTCAAGCAGAGGAAGACAACTAGTATGATATCACTTATAGGTGGAATCTAAAAAATACCACAAACTAGTGAATATAACAAAAAAGAAGCAGAGTCACAAATATAGAGAACAATCCAGTGGTTACCAGTGAGCGGGCAATATAAGGGTGGGGGAATGGAGGTACGAAATATTGGGTGTGAGGTGGGCTCAAGGATGTGTTATACAACACGGGGAATATAGCCAATATTCTGTAATGACTGTAAATGGAGTATAATATTTAAAACTTGCATGTAAACAAATTTTAAAAATTTACAAAGAGAAAAGAAAAAGAGGTGAATTATATTGCTCCTCCAGAAGGCAGAGCTTTTCCAGTCTACCTATTGTATTTCAAATACTATCTACAAAAAGAAAAAAAATGCCCAACCAGAGGGTCCCAGCTGTGACCTGGCTGGTTCCAGGGCAGTGTGACAGGACCTGCCTTCATGGGGACCCTGCACTCCTAACAATGCCTACATCAAGATCTCCCTGACGATTTAGCATGAAGTCAATGAAAGCCACTGATATTTTCTGCACAATAGTTTTATTTGACACTTGCTTTTATTATTCTACTCTGCGGGTACTTAGGAAGAGCGCTGGTGGTTTGGTGGCAAATAGGCAGGGAGCTCCCGGCCCACGGGGCCTCTCCAGCCCAGCAGGAAGGTAAACAGTCCGATCACACAGGTTGCAGTTTGGGTACAATTGTGGGAAGTGGCTTGAGGGAAGGAAGGCGAGCTTGGAAAGTAATAACGGGGCAGGAAAGGCTTCCTAGGAAGGGATGTTCACACGGAGACTTCTAGGATGACTAGTGTGAGGCAGGAAGGAGCTGGGATTCCCAGGAGCTAGGAGAGTTTGTGAAAAAGCCTGGCCCCTAAGGTGAAGGAAGGAGAGATATGGTGGGACCCAAAACACACAGGGGCTGCGGGCAGGTGAGGACCTGTGTCTTTATCCTGGCTGTTCAGTCTCTCAGTCGTGTCCCAGACTTTGAGACCCCATGGACTGCAGCACGCCAGGCTCCCCTGTCTTCCACTATCTTCTGGAGCTTGCTCAAACTCATGTCCATTGAGTTGGTGATGCCATCCAACCATCTCATCTTCTGCCACTCCCTTCCCCTTTTGCTTCAGTCTTTCAGGGAAAACCATCAGGGTGTTCTCCAATGAGTTGGCTCTTGGGGGGGGGTCCAAAAAATTGGGGCAGCATGCTTCAGATGGTGAATTTTAAATCTCTGATTTAAGGTTGGAAAGAAATACACACTACAATATAAAGGAGAAGATGGTGGTAGAGGATGAGATGGTTGGAGGGCATCACCAATTCAATGGACATGAACTTGGGTGGACTCCAGGAGATGGTGAGAGACAGGGAGGCCTGGCGAGCTGCAGTCCAAGGGGTCGTAAAAGAGTCAGACACTCCTGAACAACAACAATATATAAAACAGACGAATAACAAGGACTGCCTGTATGCCACAGAGAACTATATTTAATATCCTGTAATAACCCACAAGGGCAAAGAATCTGAAAAGAAGATATACATACATATACATATACCAGTCAATCCTAAAGGAAATCAGTCCTGAATATTCATTGGAAGGACTGATGCTGAAGCTGGAACTCCAATCCTTTGGCCACCTGATGCGAAGAACTGACTCATTGAAAAAGGCCATGATGCTGGGAAAGATTGAAGACAGAAGGAGAAGAAGGTGGCTGAGGATGAGATGGTTGGATGGCATCACTGATTCAATGGACATGAACTTGGGTAAACTCCAGGAGGTGGTGATGGACAGGGAAGCCTGGCGTGCTGCGGTCCATGGGGTTGCAAAGAGTCGGCCCCGACTTGGTGACCAAATAGCAGCTACTGCTCCTGGATCCCATGCAGGCTCTTGGGTCTATCAGGTGCTGCCTCCCCTGAACTGGGGGAGGAGAAATTCCTGGTTAAATCAGCCGTCCTGAAAGGACGTGGGTAAGTCTCCCTCCCTTCATTTATCCCAAACCCCTTAATTCTGCACCTAATGAAATAGAGTGATGAGGTCACTGGGTCCCTCCTCTGCAATGTCTCCCTACAGCGTCTGCTTCCCACAAGGCAGACGCTTCCTCTAGATTCAGGCTCGAGACTGGGCTGACCTCACCCCAAAGCACTTTCCAGGCTCAGACTGGAAGCAGGCCGGCGCCTACACAGTCCCCAGGACACAATGTCTCCCAGGCCAGCCCATCTGGGGACCCTGGCTTCCCTCTCCCCGCTGACCCCGCAGAACCTCTCTGAGGTGCCTCTCGAGGCCCAGAAGAAGACAAGGGCCCTGTCGCCTGGGTCTGTGCGACACCCCACCCTCGGGAGCCCCGGGCTGAGTCTGGGCTGCTGATAAAGATTCCGAAGCGAATTCCAAAGCCGGCCGCCCTCGTGCCACCTCCAAGCTGTGGGGCGGAGGCCTGTTTATTTTGGGTTTGATGAGTAAATCATGTGGAACAGAATCAAAAGCTGTGCTGAAGTCGACACAGATGCCATCTGTCACTTCCCGCTCAGCCACTGGGCGAGGGCAGGGGGCCTGGATGGAGTGACAGGCTCTTTAGAACGTTTGCCAACCATGAGTCAATGCCCTCTTCTTTTGTAAAAATGCCCTAGCAAGTGAAAATGTAGTACATTGTCTGCTTTAGTTTTCAAGTTTGAAGGGTGGAGTTTTGAGGTCAAATGTCCGGTGGCATCCTTTTCTGTTTAAAAATGCACGTGTGTGGGAACCACTCAAGTTAACTCACCTCTCATCCTTTCTTTAGGAAATGTGTCTCTGGCAGTATATGGAGTGTTCATGGATATCAAACAACTGCCTGGGCTAAGTTTCCTCTAATTGAAAAGGGAGGCATCTATTGGGGGCGAGAGCCTCTGGTGGGCAGTGATTAACCCGGTTTAATTAACAGTGTGCGGCTCCCTGTTTATCTGCTGAAACACAGCCCTGTCTCAGAAGGACACTGCATACCCTAAAGGCCCTCGGCCAGCTGTGGGTGTTTGCCTTCAGAGGCTCTTGTGCCAGTCTGGGCATCCCTTACCCATCTCACCCGGCGTGGGGACTTCCGGCTACAGGGAATGGCCGGTCTCCCTCGGCCTTAGCTTTGAGATGGACTGGGGCCCAGGATGGATCCCACCCTTGCTCTCAGTCCCTTCACTTGTCCCAGCTTGGTCTTGGCCCTGTCTAGGCCCTGGGTCATCACTGGCTGGTAGCTGCTAACTGTGGGTCCTTCCACATTTCTCTTGGAGGCCCCCAGGTCTATATCCTGTTCAGTTTTCCTGAAACTGGCCACTCCCTCACCCATCTTCATGGCAGCTGGCTTCATGTGAGAGCTGACCTTCTGTATACTTCTGTCTTGACTGCTCTGGGGGGACACCAGGGCGGGCGAGGAAAAGCCTTGGGCTTGCAGGCGAGAGACTCGGTCTTCGCAAGCCTCCTATGCAGCCTGAGTCACTTAACCCTTTAAACTTCCATTTGATTACATTTAGAGTAATCAGAGTAATATCTTTCTTATAGAATTGTGGTAAAGATTATGTTAATATAGAAAAAAAGGGCCTAGGTCAATTCCTGGCACATGGGAGTATTAACAGTAGAAGTATTAGTAGTATTAGTCACTTGGCAGAGTCTGACTCTTTGTCACTTCATGGACTGTAGCCCGCCAGGCTCCTCTGTCCATGGGATTCTCCAGGCAAGAACACTGCAGTGGGTTGCCATGCCCTTCTCCAGGGGATCTTCCCAACCCAAGGATGGAACCCAGGTCTTCCGCATTGTAGCAGATTCTTTATTCTCTGAATCACCAGGGAAGTCCAGTAAGTATTAGTCCAAAATCAGTGTCCTGCCCTTGTATCGGAGAAGGCAACAGCACCCCACTCCAGTACTCTTGCCTGGAAAATCCCATGGACAGAGGAGCCTGGTGGGCTGCAGTCCATGGGGTCATGAAGAGGCGGACACGACTGAGCGACTTCACTTTCACTTTTCACTTTCATTCATTGGAGAAGGAAATGGCAGCCCACTCCAGTATTCTTGCCTGGAGAATTTCAGGGAGGGCGGAGCCTGGTGGGCTGCCATCTATGGGGTCGCACAGAATCGGACACGACTGAAGCGACTTAGCAGCAGCAGCAGCAGCAGCCCTTGTATACCTATGGTTGACCCATGTTGGTGTATGGCAGAGGCCAACACACTATTGTGAAGCAATTTTCCTTCAATTAAAAATGAGTAAGTTTGGGGGAGGGGTAGGGAAGGCAGGAATCAGTGTCCTGGGGATTGCACTTGCAATTAAGGTAAAGTGGGAAACATTAAGATCTCTCCTTTGGCAATAATAAGAGATCACTGGGTAGACCAAAATGTTATCTTGGAATTGTTGACACTATTAATTTTTAAAAATTAATGACTTTATGTATTTTTGGCAGCTCTGGGTCTTCATTTCTGTGCACGGGCTTTCTCTG